AAACAAAGTCGTGCAATTTAAAAGTGAAGCAGTACATATGGCCAGTAAGTATCAGAGATGCTCGACCTCCCCAATAGTGAGACACACAAATATACACATTATTCAGATGTTCTTTTCCCCCAATCAGTCTGGCCCCTTTGTATGTCTGGTGACCACCAGCACTGGTGAGAATGTGGGAAGCAGAGTCCCAGCAGATCCCCTGGGAGACGTGTTCCTGTATATTCCTCTCTCAGGAAACCGTGTGGCAGCACCCACCAAAGTTCTAACTGGGTGTCCCTTAACCCACAGTGCTAATCCTAGGAATTTAACCCCCAGAAATACTTGCATAATTTCTCAAAATTTGTTTTCAAGAAATGTGTTTCTTGGTTTCAATAAATCAAGAAATCTATTTCAAATGCGTTCATCACAGCATTGGTTGAAATAGCAAGGAATTGTAAACCTCAACAACATCCACATAGAGAGAAAAAAATGAACAAATTCTTGTCCACGTGTGCCAGGGAATACTGTGTGCCTGCTGAGGTAGGTGGGGTAGATGTGCATGTGCCACACAGAAAGACACCAAGGAACCTGTCACATGAAAAAACAGGTTGACTATCAGTCTGTATTGAGGATCTTATTTTAAAAAACCACATATAGGTGTAAACATGCATACCCACAAATATGTAAATAAATGTGTGTGCGAGAGAGTGAGACAGACAGACTGACAGAAACAGAAAGAGTCGAATGACAGAGACAGAGCCTGACCCATGTGACCAAACCGTTAATGATGATCACCTCTGGTGAGTGGGACTTTCAAAATTGTATTTTCTCCGTTAAGTGAGGAGATAAATTCCTGCACTTGTACAACCTACCCAGATTGAATTACAATGAAACAAAATCTGAACAGACCAATAATCAGCAAAGAGATTCAACCAGTAATAAAATGTCTCCCATAAAAAAAAGCCTGATGGCTTCACTGTTGAATTCTACCAAACATTTAAAGAAGAGCTAATACCAATTCTTCTCAAACTATTCCAACAAATTGAACAGGAGAGAATTCTTCAAAACTCATTCTACAAGGCCAGCATCACCCTGATACCAAAACCAGACAAGAACACAACAAAAAAGAAAAATACAGGCAAAGATCCCTGGTGAACACAGATGCAAATATCCTCAACAAAATACTACCAAGCCAAGTTCCACAGAACATTAGAAACAGCACTCACCATGAACAAGTGGAATTCATCCCAGGGATGCAAGGATGGCTAAACATATGCAAATCAATAAACACGATACATCACTTTAACAGAATGAAGGACAAAAACTATATGATCATTTCAATAGATTCAAAAGCATTTGGCAAAATTCAACTTCCCTTTGTCATAAAAACTCTCAACAAATTAGGTATAGAAGGAATGAATGTACCTCAATACAATATAGGCTATATATGACAAACCCATGGATACCATCTGATGAAAAGGGGAAAAGTTGAAAGCTTTCCTCTGAAATCTGAAACAAGGATGCCGACTTCACCACTTCTATTCAACATTTCATTCTTATTTTTTCCTCTACTGACTGTTTATTTTCAAACAGCCTGTCTTCAAGC